TGACAAGTTGGTATCAGAGCTCTAGGTTCATAGGTGTCATGAGTCACAAGCCGGTTTATTAGAGCCTCGCGGATCGGTACAGAGACATCTGTACTTATCTTCGGGAGGCTATGAAACTGTTAGGAAAATTTCACTACTCTGATTCCTTGTCGTGCAAAAATTGTTGACTTCAAAAGTTCTAAACTTATGTATTCTATTCTGTCACAGATTGTGAGGACACGTACAAACGGATCTAATGTCCAGGCACCTGTGCCCCCTGCTAGAGCTGCGAGAGGTCGGGACTGGGGTAGAGGCCAAGGACGTCCACGTGGTGCAGCCAGAGCACCTGCACGAGCTGCTATAGAGGAGCCCCTAGTAGCTCCAGCTGGAGGGCAGACACTTGAGGCACCTATTCCTGCACCAGCCCTCCAGGAGACTCTAGCCTAGTTTCTGAGGATGTTCAGCACCTTAGCTCATGCAGGATTAATTCCACTTTCCCCTGCCACATCTCAGGATGGGGGAGGAGCACAAACTTCCGTCACCGGTACTCTAGAGCAGCGGGTTCCGGTAGACCAGGTTCCAGAGATTGTACCAATGCAGCCGGTAGCTCCAGCTCAACCCGAGGTTAGGGTAGCAGCTTCTGAGGTGGAGCAGCTCAGACTTAAGAGGTACAATAAGTACCACCCACCTACCCTCAGCGGATTGGCTACAGATGAAGCTCAGGTTTTTCTGGAGGAGTGTCATCGTATTCTCCGTACTATGGGCGTAGCGAAGACGAGCGGGGTTTCTTTTACTACATTCCATCTCAGAGGAGAAGCCTATCAGTGGTGGCGTGCTTATAAGCTGAGTAGTCCGGCTGAGGCAGCTTCACTTACATGGACTCAGTTCTCGGACATATTTTTGAGAGAGTATATCCCTAGAGCCTCGGGGACTCATAGCGCGGGGAGTTTGAGCAGCTGCGTCAGGGTGCAATGACTGTATCAGAGTATGCAATTCGCTTCAGTGATTTGACCCGACAAGCACCGGCCTTGGTTGCCATAGTTCGAGAGAGGGTTCGACGATTTATTGAGGGACTCCACCACAACATCCAGATTAGTATGGATAGGGAGTTGGATATGAATATTTCTTATCAGGAGGTGGAGAGTATTGCCAGGAGATTGGAGAGAATGATTGCCTGGGATAGAGAGGTGGGGGAGGCCAAGAGGTTTCGAGAGACTGGTTATTATTTTGGAGCTCGTGTCCCAACAACTCGCTATGGTAGGGGTTATGTGAGCCGCCCCATTCATTCAGCTCTTCCAGTCGCAAATGGTGTTCCAGCCCCTTCTAGACCCCATGAGCCTTATTATGCACTGCCAGTATCTAGTGTGCCTCCTGCACGGGATGTTCCTAGTGGCCAGTCACAATAACCATGCCCTCCTAGGGCTTGTTTTGAGTGTGGTGACACTCGCCATATGGAGAGGGATTGCCCCAGATTTAGGAAGGGTGCACCTCCACAGACTTCTCAGCCATAGCACGCTCCACCGGGTCCTCAGGCTATGATTACAGCACCAGCTGCCACCCCACCTGCTCAGCCAGCCCGAGGTGGAGGTCGGGGAGGTAGAGGTCACCCTAGAGAGGGAGGCCAGCCCGGATATTATGCCCTTCCTGCTCGTACAGAGGCAATCGCTTCTAGTTCTGTTATTACGGGTATTGTCCCGGTCTGTCATAGAGATGCGTCGGTATTATTTGACCCAGGCTCTACATATTCTTATGGGTCCTTTTATTTTGCCCCGTATTTGGGCATATCTCGGGATTCTTTGAGTTCCCTTGTTTATATGTCTACTTCTGTGGGAGATTCTCTTGTTGTGGACAACGTGTATCGGTCGTTTTTGATTGCTCTTAGTGGTTTTGAAACCAGAGATGATTTATTATTGCTCAGCATGGTGGACTTTGATATTATTTTGGGCATGGACTGGTTGTTGCTCCATTATTCTATTCTTGATTTTTACACTAAAATCGTGATGCTGGTTATGCTAGGTTTACCGCGGTTAGAGTGGAGAGGTACCTTAGAGTATACTCCCAGCAGAGTTATTTCATTTTTTAAAGCTCAATGAATGGTTGAGAAGGGGTGTGACGCGTATCTAGCTTATGTGAGGGATGTCAGTATTGATACCTCTACAATTGAGTCAGTTCCAATACTGAGGTACTTTCCAGATGTGTTCCCAGCTTATCTTCCGGGCATGCCGCCCGATAGAGATATTGATTTTGGCATTGATTTGTTGTCGGGCACTCAGCCCATCTCTATTCCTCCATATCGTATGGCTACTCCTAAGTTAAAGGAGTTGAAGGAGCAGTTACAGGAATTGCTTGATAAGGGATTCATTCGGCCCAGTGTGTCACCTTGGGGTGCTCCTGTCTTATTTGTGAAGAAGAATGATGGTTATATGCGGATGTGTATTGATTACCGCCAGTTGAACAAAGTAACAGTGAAGAACAGATATCCATTGCCTCGTATTGATGACTTATTTGATCAATTACAGGGTGCCCGAGTAATTTCCAAGATTGATTTACGATCAGGATATCATCAGTTGAAGATACGGGAGCTAGATATCCCGAAGAATGCTTTCAGGACCAGATATGGTCACTATGAGTTTCTTGTTATGTCTTTTGGGCTGACAATGCCCTAGAAGCTTTTATGCACTTGATGCACAGTGTGTTCCGGCCTTATCTTGACTCATTTGTCATTGTGTTTATTGACGACATCCTGGTGTACTCTTGGACTTGGGAAGATCATGAGCAGCACCTGAGGACTGCACTTCAGACCTTGAGAGAAAAGAAGTTATATGCAAAATTTTCAAAGTGTGACTTTTGGTGCTGACTCAGCCAAGTGGCTGATTGCAATGAATGAAGAAATTGAGTCTCTCCACAAGAATGGTACTTGGTCTCTTATGAAGCCGCCATCAGAAAAAAGAATTGTTGGTTGTAAATGGGTCTTCAAGAAAAAGGATGGCATTCCATGGGTTGAAGATGCGAGGTATAAGGCACGATTAGTTGCAAAGGTCTATAGTCAGGTACAAGGAGTTGATTTTAATAATATTTTCTCACCTGTTGTTAAACATAGCTCTATTCGTGTCCTGCTTGCCTTCGTTTCCATGTATGATTTGGAATTAGAACAACTTGATGTTAAGACAACTTTCTTACATGGTGAACTTGAGGAACAAATATACATGCATCAACCCGAAGGATTTGAAATTGAAGGAAAAGAAAATCATGTTTGCTTGTTGAAGAAATCCTTGTACGGATTAAAGCGGTCTCCAAGACAATGGTATAAAAGGTTTGATTCCTTTATGTTGGGTCATGCTTATTCGAGGAGCATGTATGATAGTTGTGTTTACTTCCGGAAGTTAAATGATGGTTCATTTATGTACCTATTATTATATGTTGATGACATGCTCATTGCTGCTAAGGATTTAACAAAAATTCACAATTTGAAAAGTCAGCTGAAAAGTGAATTCGAGATGAAAGATTTGGGAGCAGCTAAGAAAATCCTTGGCATGGATATCAAAAGAGGTCAAAAAGCCAACAGGCTATTTCTGACCCAGAAGAAGTACTTGGAGAGGTTTGGCATGAAAGATGCTAACTAGTTAGTACCCCTCTTGCTGCTCATTTTAAGTTATCAACTGCTCAGTCCCCACAGTCAGAAGAAGAAGAGAGGTACATGGCACAGGTTCCTTATACTAGTGCAATCGGCAGTATTATGTATGCAATGGTTTGTACATGTCCAGACATTTCACAAGCAGTGAGCGTGGTAAGCCGTTATATGGCTTGCCCTGGTAAAGCACATTGTCATGCTGTGAAATTGATTTTCAGATACTTGCGAGGTACTTCAAATACATGTTTGGAGTTTGGGAGAAATACTAACACTTTGGTTGGTTTTGTAGACTCAGATTATGCAGGTAATCCTGACAAAAGAAGATCACTGACAGGCTATGTATTTTTCATCGGTGGTTGCCCTATTAGTTAGAAAGCTACATTACAACATGTAGTAGCTTTATCTACTACCGAATTAGAATATATGGCAGTGACCGAGGCGATCAAAGAAGCTTTATGGTTGGATGGTCTATTTGTGGAACTCAGTTTACACCAAAGTAGTATTACCATTTTCTGTGATAGTCAAAGTGCCATTCACTTGACAAAAGATGAAATGTATCATGAGAGGACGAAGCACATTGATATAAAGTATCATTTCATCCGAGAAACCATTGCTGAAAGAAATGTCTCTGTTCAGAAGATCAACACTAGAGACAATCCTACTGACATGTTCACAAAACCTCTTCCAGTATCCAAGTTCAAGCTTTGCCTAAACTTGATTGGCATTTATGAAGAATGATTTTTCCCCATGGGGTTTTTTGCGGAGAAGGTGGAGCAAATTTACTATATATAAGCCGAAATTAGGCCAAGGTGGAGATTTGTAATATGGCCAAATTTTCATGACATTTGCCATGACATAATATCCATTATAACAAATTTGTGGTTCATGACATTTGCCATGACATAATATCCATTATAACAAATTTGTGGATCATGACATTTGCCATGACATAATATCCATTATTAGGCCAAGGATTTCTTGCTATAAATAGAGGAGTTTCTCCTCATTTGAAAACACACCAATTCAAGAGCTTTTCACTCTTGTCTTTCTTTCTCCTCATTTATTTCATTATAGAGTATTTTGTAAGAGAGTGAGTGTTGGAAAATACTTGTGTGAACCCTTTCTTTGGAGTGATCTTGTTAGGTTATTCTCTTGGGGTATTTGCGATTAATTAGAGTATTTACTCTAATTTTGTACTCTCTTTTGTACTCTTGTTGGTATAGTGAAATTGCTCCTCTCCGCTTGTGGACGTAGGTCACCTTGACCGAACCACGTTAAATTTGTGTCTTCTCTATATTCTTTAATTGCCGTTATTATCAACTTCCATTGTCTTTGTTATTGTCATTATACCCTTGTTTGACTAAATTTCGCACTACCCGGATTTCCGATCCTAACAGTGCTTAATATAACTGTTGGCCTTAGGATTATGAGTTGGAGGTCCTCCTTTAAGTATCCTAAAAGCATCTCTCCCATTGCTTTTGTGAAGGTGTATGTGTTTGGCCATCCATGCATCTTTGCCCTGAACAATCATAGTTCTCGTGAAAGGTGAGATAAATCTTCAAAAGAAAAGTGAGACTGATTTTATGAAACAACGTTTAATTACCTCTCAATACCTAGAACCCTCATAGCTAAAGTTACTTCTTTTTCAGTGGCATTCCTAGCTTGAAGGTCCTTTAGTTTCTCCTCTACCAACTTATGCTCTGCGTCTATCTCTAAGTGAGATCCTCTATTAAGCGTCTCACCATAGTGCAATGGCTTCTCTTGTATCAATCCTTCCTTTACCCCACAAACATAGGCTGAATTAAAGAATCAAATAATATGGAAAATTGGTTAAATAATATGGAGCTGACCTGTGCTAATATGGAGAAGCATATTTACGTTTGAGCACTGTTTGGAAAACTTAAGAATATTCAAGGCACCCAGTGTATTGATCCTTATTGCAGTATCATATCTGCAAATGGAGTAATTAGATTATTTTTATTTTTATTTATTTTAGGAAAAAGAATGTTACGTTAATCTATAACTGCACCTTTCATCAAATCTAGTTGCAGCAGCTGAGTTTACAAATATGTCTATTTCTCTGCACATCTCATCTTTCAGCTCAGAATTTATCCCTAAATTATCACAAGCTATATCACCAGCAACAGGGAAAACTCTGTCTTCTATAAGGGCATGTAAGTTGGCACCCAATTTCTCCCTTAGAACTCCAAACAGATCTGTCTTTATAACCTGCACTTAAAACATATCCTTTAACTGGTCACATCGAATATAATATTGAACTCTGATAATCTTGAATTCACGTGTGGTATGCATTGGAGCTGTATATTCTAATATGATGGCTATTATTTCTATGGCTACGTACTACTATTGGTTATGTAATAGTTTGGTAGTACCTCGTTGTTAAAACGTTCTTTAGCTGAAATTGAATCTCGAGCTCTAATTAGCAAGTAGAGCTTCTTCACATTTGGCTGGACTCGGAGTATCTTCTCAATGAGAACTACAATAATATATATATAACAAAATCACTATTAATATCATCTATGCAGTCATCTCCTCAAGAAGCACTATTAGTGCAACCTATATATATAGTAGAGAGAAAGTACTCTTTGCTAGGTAGCCAGTGCAACCTATTAATGTAGCTCGATTCCATTGATGGAGATTGTTCGCAGAATTGAGCTAGATGAGGTGACGGAAATTTATGGGGGGGGGGGGGGGGTAAATTCATATTATAAATTCTTATACATAAGATATCATCATGGAAATTATACTAGAAAGCTAAGTAATGCATTTACACATCCAAAATCACATGGATTTCTTGAATGCTTCTACTTATGTATGATGGAGTTTAGTACCTACTATATATACTGAAGTTTTCCGAGTACTCGTTTTATGTGATATGTGACTAGTTAGATACCAATATTCAAACAGAATGAATGCTACTCCCCGGTCCATAACAAGTGACTTTTTAATGTTTTATTACCTTTTTATTTTGGTCCAAAATAAGTGATCTTTTATATAATCAACAAGGAATTAATTTTATTTTTTTAAAATTTGTCCTTTAGTAGTATTTTCTTAAGGATAGTGCGAAGTTGCAACTGTAGTATGTAGAGCTGTCCAAATATTTATAGTGAATTACCAAAGTCTATCTTGTCATAGGCCACGGCTTGCAGCATTGGGTATTACTTTGTTAGGTGCGGCTTAATAAAAGAACTTAAACTTATCTTATTTAATTTCATGTATATCTTTATTTGAAGATTATTCTTATAGTTTTTTAAGATGCAAAGTTATGAAGTAATTTTTTGGTTATAATCAATTTCTTCTAATAGTATTCTTTTCCAATTGATAATATAGTCAACCGATTTAATCTTTTTTTGAAACATTATTGATCATCTTAAATTAGATTTTATCATTTTCAATTTTGAAAATAAAAATAAAATTACCTAAGGTTACTGTTATATCATCAAATATAAACTCCGCTGCACACAGCAGCTTCCATCTATTCTCCGCAGACGAGCAAGACATACTTAAAGTACAATTGTGGCGATTGCAGCTTAACAAATAGAAGGCAGTTTTGAACATTCGAAATTCACACCAAAACTTTAGATTAGTTGGAAAACATTGAATTGCCTATAAAAAGAAATTTAGGCCAAATAGATAAGCGACCTCTTAAATTTATCATCACTTTTCATTTGGATATTTGAACAGCTTGTTTGGATGGTTCTTATCAATTGTATCGTATTGTATTATTATCCAAAAACAGTATTTGTTTGATTTTATTTATTTAAAATTGGTTGTATTCATGTATTGTTAAATCCGTTGTTGAGGAACAAAGAAAAATTTCACTTTATGAAACAACGAATTTGGTATGATGGGATTGTTTTCTATTTTTCTTTCCAATTATGTCTTTACTTATTACTCCATAATTATATTTTAGTCTTTTTTTTTAACTCTAAATTTCCAACCTATTGACCTACTTTGTCTTCGTCCATCTTCTCCAGAATTGGTTCGTGTGCCATTCTTTTCGTCTAAATCTCCAAATCTCCGTTCGTTTCTTTTGCCTCTTTCCATAGCACAAGTAGTACATAAATAAGAATACAATATGTGGTAAAAATGATAGTTTCCCTCCGTACCATTTTAAGTAGTTTTTGTTTTATTGGACGCATAAAAAAAAATTAATATTTATTGAAATTTATGATTTAAAATAAATAAATTTTAAAATGAAGCAGTAATACAGCGACATGATTATTATAATCACTTCGATTCTTTCAATTATCTATAACTTATGCTCTTTTGACTGCCACGTATTGCATTTCCTAGCCACACCAATAGTTGTAATTCCTCCTTTAAATAGGTGCGTATTCAAAATCATATGTATATTGTTGTCACGACCCAAAATCTCAATTTTTGTGATGGCGCCTATCTCAATACTAGGCAAGCCGACAATCTCAATAAACCATCATATCTTTTAAATTTGAAAACATAATAATTAAATTCAGCTGAAGAAATCTCAGAAATACAAATATAAATACTCCCAAAGTCTGAGTGATAAAACATTGTCTGAAAGTGTAGAACAATACAATAACTGAAGAAAAGAAAGACAAGGTCAACGGATGCCAAGCGGCTACCTTGATAGTCTCCAACCGGTAATACATTGAGGTCTAACAGCTGCCGTATCCGGAAGCACCTGGATCTGCACACAAGATGCAGAGTATAGTATGAGTACAACCAACTCAATACGTAACAAGACTAACCTCTGGGCTGAAAGTAATGACGAGTTCCGCAGGTACAGTCCTGTACATAATTAATGGTACAGGGATGTAGGTATGCTTTCAAGTTCAACAATTAAACTCAGTATAAGCAAAATAGATCAATATTGCATGATATGAGGAATGTGACATCTCAGTGGAAATACCTTTTGTACTACTGGTCACTAATCATTGCAGTTATTCGGTACTGTTTATGGCCAATCCAACCCAAGGATATTCCATCCCGTATATATATATACATCGACTGACAGTCAGTCACTCAATACCGTATAAGGCCAATCCAACCCTAGGTAATTTATCCCCACATGTAAATAATACGGACAAGATCCATGTCCAGGGAAAATTCATCATAATATAAATAAGTAAGGCAAGTCCATGCCCTGGGAAGTCCATCTCGAATATATATAAACATCTACGCTCACTGGGGGGGTGTGTACAGACTCCAGAGGGGCTCCTTCAGCCCAAGCGTAATATAAAGCCGATATGGCCTACTGCAGGTGTGCATTCCCGATCTGTATAATAATAAAATCTATAAGGCCTGCTGTAGGCGGGCAGCCCTGATCCATATAGTAATAATATATATAAAGCCAATATGGCCTGTTGCGGCGCGCAGCTCGGTCCCATAAATATCCTCTCAATGGACGAATAAGACTGAGTGTGAAATGTACATTTTTAAAACAATTAATTCAAAAGCAACACGACCCCATAGGTCCCAAAATATCCGCACGTAGCATAAACATGATCTTTAATAAGAGCCTCATCTCAATTTCTCTAACACATGGAACATGTTCACATAATAACATGATTCTTTAATTTTACAACTTCACGTGATTTATTCAAGTCACAATTTCTATGGTGCACGTCCACACGCTCGTCAACTATCGTGTGTGTCACCTCCAAATAATTTATATAATACCAATTCTGGGATTCATACCCCATAACTAAGTTTAGAAGTGTTACTTCAAATCGTGTAATTTCTTACGCCGCTATGCCTTTGCCTATCGAATTGGCCTCCAAATGCCTCGAATCTAGTCATAAATAATTCGATTCAATCAATACAAAATATAGGAATTAATTCCATATGAAAATATAAATTTTCCATCAAAAATCCGAAATTTCACCCAAAAATCGCACGTGGGCCCCACGTCTCCTAACCCGACAAAAGTTATGGAATATGAAAGCTCATTCAACCACGAGTCCAACCATACCCAATTTACTAAATTCCGACATCAACTCGACCTCCAAATTCTCAAATATTATTTTCAAATCCCTAGGTCCAAATCCCTGATTTACACCTCAAAATCATGTAATCTAGTCGGATTATACGATGATAATTCAATATTATGGAGTAGAAATGATCACAAGTGACTTACCTCAAGATTTCTCATGATTTCTCGCTCAAAAATCTCCCCAAGCCATTTTCTTTCGTCCAAAAATGTTGAAATGAGCTAAAAAATAAAACTGCTCAATACAAATACTATTCTGGTCGCTAAAAGCCCAATTTCCGTCGCTAAAAGTGCCAAATTTGGTCGCTAAAGGTGCACACCTAAACCCGTTGCACCAGCAATATTTATTTACACTAAAAAGCTCTAACTCCATAATAAAAACTCGGAATTCGACGATTCTTATTACCATGAGTCACAAATAATAATACGAATCTAGTCCTTCAATCGAAACTCAATTCGGAGCTTATTTGCTCAACGCGATACCAATTTCGCTCGTCAAACAATTAACTCATGTTTCGCGCTAAAATCCCAATCGCGACTTGATGAAATTAGACCAAACTTTTCAGATCATTCCTATAATTCATTATCAAACTCCCGAAAGTATCAAAATCGAATTTCGATCTTTAGAACTAAAAATGGACCTTTGGATCATTACATGCTTATGTGAAAATATCAAACTCTTCCAAAACTCATCTGAAACTCATCCGAGCCCCATGGGACCCTAACTAAGTATACTAATAAGTCCCATAATATGACATGAACTTAGTCGATGCCTCAAATTATATTGAACAATACTAAAACACGAATCACACCTCAATTCAAGCCTATTCAAAACTTACAAATTCCAAATTCTACATTCGATGCCGAAACCTATCAAATCAACTCCGATTGACCTTAAATTTTGCACACAAGTCATAAATGACATAACAGAGTTGTTCCAAATTTTCAGAATCAGATTTCTATCCCGATATCAAAAAGTCAACTCCCCGGTCAAACTTCCAAACTTAAATTTCCTATTTTTGCCATTTCAAGCCTAATTTAGCTACAGACCTCAAAATAAATATCCGGATATATTCCTAAGTCCGAAATCACCATACAGAGCTATTGGAACCATCAGAATCCCATTCCAGGGTTGTTTACACATAATTCACCATCTGGTCAATTATTTCAACTTAAGCTTCCAAAACAAGAATCGTTCTTTCAATTAAATCCTGAATCATCCGAAAACCAAACTTGACAACCCTCGCAAGTCATAATACACATTTTAAAGCTGCTCGAGACATTAAGACACCGAACGGAACGCTAATTCTCAAAATGACAAGTCGTGTCATTACATTCTCCCCCACTTAAACATGCCTTCGTCCTCGAACGTGCCAAGGGTTGTTCCTAAACCTTCAAATCACTATTTCACCTTATCATGCACATAATCGGGGGTGATCCCACGTCACCCTATTCCATATAGGCCTGACGACACCACATAACTGAAAATTATTAATTTAGCATTAGCCCATAAACCTTGGAATCCAATTTCCAACATCCAAAAATTTCTTTTCAAGACCGAATCTCACATCTACACTCTGTATGAGTCTTAACAAGCTTTATTAAGCCTTAGTCATAACTCCAGATGTAGTCACATGATATACCACACAACCCGCATACTCGCAATAGTTTCTAATCAATGTAGCTGCTAATAAATTAAACCCGATACTGGTATTAGACCCCATATGAATCAACACCTTATTCCAAAACCTTCGTACACTGCCGATAATGAAAGAAACACGCGAAATTTCATGACCACTTACCAGATCAACAAGTCACGGAGCATTCCCTCGTTCAACAAGTACCATAGCTAATTATTTAAGATAAATTCTAAATTATTCTTCCAACACGATATAATCAAACCTGATAGTATCCATTCTAGGTCCAATAACCTTATATCACCAAACACAACTATTCTGGTGTAATCCTGCCTTTCCGGCACAGAACATTATTTAAAACCAACTCATCAAATTCTATGAAAAGAACATATGTGTGTGCATGTGCACATTTTCTTTTTCTCAAATTGACCCGATTAGGCGATAGCATATCATGTAGAGGAATAAAAAAATTAATCAGATAAAGGATCAAGGAAACGAAAATTCCACACACTCCACGGACAACTCATGTGCTAACAATAGAACCCGCACAAACAACTCGCGTGCCAATAATATAATCCGCCAGGTATAGTCCCAGGCCTCCAGTCCAAATATATCATATGGGAGCATTTAAATAGGTATACAGGTATATGATGAGTAGGATAAGATTCTCATGTTCCTGTACTGGTATAAATGACATGCTAAAGTGTAGACATGTACAAAGTGTGCTATCATAGCTCAAACCGGAAATCTTTCATCACTGAGGCATTTATCAAGTTCGTTCAGGGATTTTAACCCATATGTAGCCTCAAGCACGACTCAAATAGCTCACGCAATGTTACATATATGAGAAACATCATAGCTTAAAGTGTAACAGTCAATTCTAGACTTATTATAGCCTAAATGCAATCCGAGCATGGATAAATAGCCCTTTGAAAAGTCCTCAATGACTTAAACATAACACGTACTATTATCTAGTTAACTTGGCCACATCTTCATAGTCCGCGGCCCCGAAACAATTTGCTTCTGAGAATTCCTAGTCCCCCAAATTCATAGAACACATGAACCACCATAACTGACCACAACTCCAGCACTCGAATGACTGACATATTTCATGCACGATCATCCCACGAGGAATACTTTCATAATTCTTCCGTACCACATAGAAATAATTTGAATATCAACAATCTATCAACCAAGTGAGTACCGCAATACCAATGAACATTCGTAAGTCAAAACACAATGCGCCTTTTGAAATGCGTACCCTTCTCAGGAATTATCAAGAAGTTATAACATTAATCTAAATATCTGAAATTGACCATGTTGTCCAAAATTCAGGACCTTCGCTTCAATAATGAACTGACACCTTGTACCTGTAAATTTTTAATCCCGCACAACACACCGTATCTATCATGCAATCATATGAAAAGTACAAGAATCTCACTATCAACTCTGAGTCACCAGCAAATTACATACCCGGTTAGTTAGAAACTTTCCATTTGCTCTTATCCAGGAGGAAATCACAATACACAACATGCCCCCCACACCGGTAGAAAATATCTGGTTCGAACCATGAATTATGTACTGTTTAATTTTTATTGTGGATACGTATATATATACAAGAAAAAACCCAATCTTTGAGTTCAGTTTGCTGGTGGCAATAGTTATCAATCATTTTGTGAAATAGCAAAAATAGTCCTTTGTTGTGAATAATTTAAGATAGTGGATACCCATGTTGCTATGGAGATCCATTTCCCTTACTTTATAATGGAGTGCAAGATCACTTTTTAAGCTTATAAATAGCCTTTTCTGATGGAAAAATGGCACACAGAAGAGAAAGAAAGAAAAGAGTTCTCTCATCCCTTATATATTTTCTATTCTTGTTACTTTACTTTACTACATTGCTTTTATTTTATAACACGTTATTAACACGAAACTCTAATTTTATTTTTATCCCCGCTAAGTCGAGTCATATTTTACTAAGGTATGTGTCATTATATTCATTTTGTTTATGACAGTACATATCATATGATTACTTATGCTCTTGGACATCTTAAATAATTTAAGTACATTGCAATGATAAAATAACTATTAGATGACCTCAAAGTCATTAAACTAGCTACACACTAATGAAACTACTTATAATATTCATGGACTTCTTGAATCAACAAAA